GCGACATGAGAAACAAGTTTAACTTAAGGGAATTGTGGTTTATGGATTCGCATTTTCGTCAGTGGACGGAGCAGTGATCTCCGCCCACAGGGACGAGTTGCAGTGAAATTCACATAAAAGATAACTTTGGTGAGCAAATTTTCGCTTGGTCCTTTTGGATGCAGTCTCACAAGTCTGCCGCTTATTATATACCAGGACAAGGACGAAAACCGGGTAACAAGTTCCTCAATTATAAATTTGTATTTCAGATTAGGCGCGCCTAAAAAGTGTTCTGGAGACATTCTTGTTTGGAATGCAGATATGACAGAGAGTCCGTTCTAGCTGAATAAGATGTACACGAAGAATAGAGTCAAGCAAACAGATGTCTTATGGAGTCAAAAACGGAAAGAAGTGGGGTGAAGTGACAATAAAATATTCAGGTGGCTGGGTCCACTTATGGAACAATATGTGAAAAGCCACAATGACTGCAGTTACAGGTTTTGTGCTTTTTCTCTGCGGTAGATTAATGCCAGTCAGGTAAAACGCACTGCAAAATGACAGTCCAATCCTACATCACGGTGCTCTGCGATCAACTCTCTAGGTCGATATGACGATGCATCGATCCACAATACCCGACGACGAGAACGCTTTATAAGTAGTTGGTAGTCAAACGTTCCTGAATGCAGGTATAGACATGGGTTTCTTCGTTCCTCCTTCAAAATGGCGGAAACCGCGAAGCGAAAATGACACCGCAAAAGAGTATGAAGGAGTTTACGGTGAGTTTGGGTGTTATTGTTGCCGTACTCCTTCCAGGATGGGGTCCCGGGGACTCCTTCTACTCTTGGCTGCAGACATTGCAATAACTGGCGCCTGATGGATACCAGTAGCGTTTGTGCTGTCAATTTCCCTGCCGACTATCTGACTAAGCGCAATTGTAGCCAATTCGGGATACATGCGATAGGCCTGCATCATGTTTCTTCTCTCATCCACTTTTTATACTAAGACTTCAAATATAATTGGCGAAAAATTTTGTGGTTTTATGGTGGTGAAGCATTATTGCCAAAAATGATATTGTTCCCTATTATTATTATGATGATGATGATGATATGGACAGGTGACACATAATGGAATGGTTTGTACATAGCGCACACGTGTCCCTCGGTGCCGTGGACAGACTGGAGGTGAGCAGTGTGTGGATGGTGGCCTTGACGACAAAAATCTCTGTTTAACAGAAAGCATGCATATGAGTCATGATTTAAAGTGAATAACCAAGGACGTCAAACTCTGAAATGGTCAGGTTGGGTTTATTTGAACCAGCCTTATCGGCGTTTCCTCTAGCATGTAACACAAATTTTTGAGATTGCCAGATGAAAAGTGGAAAAATCGAGCGTGTTAGTTTGAAAAAGTTGAACAAAATCATTAAAAATCCAAGGACACAGTACTATTGACGAACATTTACAAAAAGATATCGACCTCTAAGATGGGGTATTCTCTGAAAGCCACTAAAGACACACCTAATTTCTGTAGTTTCACGTTTATACTCATCCAAGATCTTTGAAAATAGACTCTAACATACCCTCATTTCTGACGCGGTGGAACCGATCAACATGTGGGACTTGGCATTCCATACATCCACCTGAAGCGTCTTATGGAGAAGGTACTCGAAAACCTCCTCATACTCCCCCGAATTCATCCAGTTGGGATTCATGGTGAAAGTGACCTTTGTAAAGATGGGGTGTGATAAGAGGACAGTGTTGAAAAGATGCTCCAAAGGGTGTTGGGATATCTTAAACAACTGAAACAGTTCAAAATACACCGGTTCTCCCGCATATTTCATAAAAAAAGCCTCAACAACAGATGTCTCCGCAGCGTTTCACTTGGTTGTGGTCGGAACGCAACCCAATTATTCGTTCCAGGTTACAGAACGCAGCAGCCCACTTAGGAAGACACTGCAGTCTCAGAAAATATAGGTCCACAGACGCGCTTCATACTTTCAGTGTGCATGAAAATTGACAGATATCTCATTCGGACTTGAAACAGAGTTTCACCGGCAGACGTGACACACTACTCTTAAGGCAGCTGCGAACTCTTCGACAGCCCACTATCGGTTTGGTCCTTCTTGGGGCTCATCGAATAGGCAGTCTCTGAGTTCTTGCCGAACCATGTTCTGCTTGAACCCAAATTTCATGAAGAAGAACATCATAACAGAGCGATTTATGTAAGTCTCTCGTGAAAACACAATTGGTATGCAAATGAGTGCAGTTATCGTTATCGCTAAATTTTTTTATGCGGAGCGAATGTACTGAGGTTTTTGAATGGGGAAATTGACGCGACAGGCCCTCACTGTGCTGCAGGCAACTGAATCCGGGAAAACATTCAGAATCATCGACTACGATGGCTCGGTCATGTGCTACGCATGCCGAAATACCGTCTACCGAGACGAGTATTGTTCTCCGTGCCTTCTTCAGGATGGCGAAAACCGCGAGGTGGACAGCACACGACCTGGCAGAAAGCTGTGAAAGAGATCACGAAGGGTTTGGGTGTTGTTAGTATGGTGAGACTTCCAGGATGGGGTCCCCGTGACCCCATCTGTGCTTGGCTGGAGACGTTGCAAGAAATGGCGGCTAATCGATGTCAGTGGCGTTCTTGCTGTCAGTTTCTTTCCAGATTGTCTGATTGAGCGGTTGGAGGTGTAGGCACCTCAGTATGCTTGACATAGGCCAGCACTAGGTCCCCTCCCTCACCCACTGTTTTTCCCTTCTTTTCAACCTAGGGCTTTTAATATATATATAGACAAACCTTATGGTTGTACGGCAGTGAAGCATCAGTGCCAGCACTGATGTTGCTGTCTTTGATGGTGATGAGTACTAGTAACGGAATGCTAATAACTTTTAAAAAAAAGAAAGCAATTGCAAGTTTTTTCTTCTAGAATTCACACGACAGTTAGAACTTATTTTTTGTGACCTTACGTAAGAATGTTGCTGTTAGTAGTCATTGACAGTCGCATATTTGACAGTGGTTATTGTTATCAACCAGAAGCTTCAGGTTTTATTTGGTTACATTCTGGTATACCGATCGGGAACAAGGTATCCAAACAAAATGATAAAGTCGAATCTGCTGAGAAATAAGCGGGACGATAAAAATCTTTGCGTAAAGTGTTTCTTTACCACACTTGTTTCAAGCAACACACAGAGTAGTGGGAAATGTGCGTTTGGTGGCTCTGTAGGCACTTCAGTTGTGGAAAACACCAAGTAGCACAGATGCAGTGGCTAGCATTTTGAGTCATGGTTTACCGAGAACATCATCATCATCATCGACAGCATGACACCAGTGTTCAACACCAATGCTTCACTGCCAAGAACAGTGTTGCTCTGTACGTTTCCTCGAAAATGGTGCAAACCATGACGTGACATAAGGTTAAAACGAGTTTACAAAAAGTGTTAATATGTTCCATCATCTTCTGTGCTGAACCGTAAACNCCGTAGATAACAAAGTTCGCGGCATTCGTGCAGCCAATTTATATCCGAACTGAACGAAGGAGCGTTCGGAGGCGGAGGTTGATCTGAATGGTTGTGGTTGGTACTGTCATACTCCTATCTGGAATATTTTTCCAACTGCAACAAGAGGCTGTCTGTGTGCAGAACCTTCAGTGAAACCGGAGACCTCCTTGATCTTCTGTCTCCCACGAACACCAAATTCATTTACATATAGGTTCATCGCCAAAGGAGTATAAATCCTGTGTTGAATAAATCACTCCTGCGCAAAACGGAGCGGTTATGGCATGATACTGTCTGGGCATTCATCTCGGCCTGAACTGGCATCTGGACTTGAAGCTAAAAACACTTTTTGAGTGGGTTATTCGTCTGCGCTGTACACCACACTATGTTGAACACATTGATTTGAAGTAGTAGTAACACGCTCGCCTCGCACATCAGATGTCCGGAACTCGGGTCCAGTGTCCCTACCTTAGGTGTGGACTTACCAGAATAATTGCGCCGGGACAGGGTGAAGACCGTTCAAACAAGAGTGGTGAAAACGCGAATTCTTCGGATTCCGCAATCACCTGTAACTAATCTTTCGAGGGTTCATGATTCACTTATTTCACACTTTGGATCAATTCATTACTGTACACCGCCCAAACAGTTCATGTTTAGCTGTAAACATATGCGCCGCATCAGAATAAATGTGCAAATTACTACTGAGGCTATCCGATTAACTTGATTTTCTCCATTGCAGTCCAACTCAGAACAGTGGAATATTGTCACAATCCTTCGAGACAGATATCCAGTGAACCTGATGTGTAAAAGTCAAGTTGCATAGTGGTAGGGCGCGAAACGACATAGTGGCCCGTTCAAAGTAAGAGCAAAAATCAGCACGGTGCGCAAAGCCCTTGCTGATTCGGAATCAAAATATGGCTTTCTTACAAGTTTATCTTTGGTTATACGGCATTTTAGCTCCCAGATTCAACCGTACCTCCAAAATTGTTCTCTCTGTTTAATTCATAGTAGCAAGGAGACTGTTTGAGGCCTATAGGGATCTTGTTATTATGTCACGTATGGCATTGCGTGAGCATACTGTGCTGTGCCAACCGACAACCGAAGATCCAGGAGTGGGACAATGAAACTTCGACAACCGAAGATCCAGGAGTGGGACAATGATATCATTAGGTGGTACAGAGCAAGACATGACACTGCTAAAATAAAGTTTACCCCACTTCACATTCACAGATAAATTTAGGTTTAAAGAGTAGAGCTCCTCTTGAACAATGCAAGGAGAACAACACGCAGCGGGATGAATTCATTTTGTACACCATCATCGGTCAAAAAAGTTGTAAAACCAAGCAAATTACGAGAAATAAATTACAGCCACAGCAAGATCCTTGAAAAGGTCACATAAAATGAACAGGTCAAGAAAAGCTTGGTAACAATAAGGGTGCACAGCGTTGGCTTCGATCGGCTGACTAACCATGACCAACTGCGTACCACGATGACTTGGAATAGTGAGTGATTGTCAACATTAGGCTTGGTTGCAATTAACTATATCGTAATTGACCGACTAAATTTTATCGACTGAAACCAAGTTAGTGTCCACATTAAGAAATATTGCACAAATCATCATCGACAGCATGACATCAGTGCTCAACACCGATGCTTCACTGCCGTATTATTGCACAAAACTCTTTGAGCTAACGTTCTTTGGTTCACGTCTGAAGCCTTCCGTCAGTTATATCAACAAAAGTCTCATCGCACCTGCGGCTGAACGCGTTTGATATTTTAGGTACGTGTGGATTGAGCGTTATCTATTAATCTGGTTGGACCACATGATGTTAACCTAACATTGAAGCATGACCTTACATCAACGTTTATGGAGGAGGACGATTAAGGCTACAGGCGCGGTGAAGTTGCACAGAACGGGGGTGATATGGAGGCTAGACATCACTTGGCCGGACGAGTTGAGTTGCCATAAACACACTATGTAAGTAGGCGTATCTGAAATATCGTGCAAGATGTCGTCCAAACACACCACTAGATGCACTATATGTGGCCATGTCTCCTATAAACATTTTGGTTTACTATAAGGGATTGCAAGCTATGCTTGTCTTACCCGTATAGGTCTCAACGAAATCCTATTAGAATGGGGTATAGTCGATAAAAGCTGGTGAAGTCTGTGGTGCTCTTGGAAATGATACTCAGCTATTGAGATTCATAGTCAACAAATCGTTACAACAGTGCAGACAACGCGCGTCTTTCTGACTGTCGACACAGAGTTAACAAATCTAGATCTTGGACGCCACATATATTCCACAACATTGCTAAGATCTTGGACCATTTTCTGAGCGCTCCTCAGCTCGATTTTCATTGGCCGGCATACCGAACTCGACTCACATTCACCATATCTTCTGTACAGTGCTTTTTCCAAGGGGGGACTCGAATTTTCCTTCAGATGGTCGTTTTCGAATGGACAGTGCAGTAAGTAGTACATGATTGGGAACGCTGCTGTGAAGGTCGACTTCGGAGAGGCTCCTCGTGGAACCAAATATTTTGCCACATTTACTACCATTACATAGAATGAGTCATTGAGGTTTGAGCATTCTAATTTTACTGTTCACTCAAATTACACGCAGTGAAGGAATGATGGAATGATGTGTAGACACATAACGGGGGCAGTGAGCTGAAACGTCTGGGAACCACCGTTCTACGGTGGCTCCAGGGTGACTTCTACAGCTCTGAACTCATCTTCTTCTCAAATACCGCATCGACAGGTAATTCAGTAATCATGGCCGCGCGCGGATCGTACTTTTTAATGTCAACGAACACTACTTTCTAGTCTTGACTCTCTAACTCGACCCTGCTTTATACTCCCAAGGTTTGTGTGTTTCAAACTTGGATGACCTCGGATAAGCTGTAGGACACACACCCCCGAAGCGGCAAATAGGAATTACGGAGTACATAAGTTTTACCACCGCTGTGTAGAATTTATAGCAACTCTCTGGCAATCTTGACATCAACTCAAAATAAGCTGGACAACAAGCGTTCCACCATATGCCGTTGCGATGTATCCGTTGGATAATCCGGCACACTTGTAAGGTTACGTGGTTTTTTTTATCTACCAGTGATGATGGAGATTTGCATGTTACCCTTCAATGGAACTCGAAGAACTTTGATATCGGCCATCACTACCGCTTATCGTGAATCTGGAGCACGAATGATTAAATCAGTGGGCACCACAACTGCTTAATACAGCTGAATGTAGCAACTTGCCAAGCTCGTTGAAAAGACCAGTTGCCATCGGACCAAGAACCGGTGTATGACAGACGTTTGCGAAGAACTCTTGTATTACCAGATATGGTTGGTTACCTGACAACCGGTGATTTTTACACCTTTCGGGACGTTCCTGTTTCCCAGCTCCGGCATCGATGGCTCTAAGACCCGACAACGCGATCCGGGCTGATCTGTACAGGTATCAAAGTTTCCTCCAAATTTCATGCTGTAGGTGAATGAAGACGAAAGACAGTTTGTCAGCATGGAGAAGATAATCTTCACTCCCACATGTTCATTTTACATTGACTGATCAAGGGGAAAACAAGCTGGTACTTAATTGGGAAACTTCACTACCTAAATCCAAATGAAGAATAGTGGAGTTCCATTGACATCTCAATCAACCATTGAAGTCAAACAGTGCTGAGCACTCGGAGGCCACTGTATATTGTCATCACATACAGCAACTTTAGTGACGCTGCGCTAACATGTAACCACAAAGTATATCTTGAAAGGCATCCTGTATCTGTTGCATCCTTGGGAATCATCTCTTGTGTGTCTGAGCGTTATCACGGCCAAACACAGCTGATTGGCAGTTTGCCTAACTCGCATTTGGACACCACTCTCCATTTACTTCCAATCAGACAGCTCACATCAAGGGATTCGGTGTTCAATGGATTGTTGAGTGACAACTTCACGAAAGAAGAGCCCAAGATTTTTGGGCGTTTTACATTATTTATAATGTCTGCGGATGGTGGAAATATTCCAAAGTTTCGAAAGCTGTTATGAATCGGGAAGACGGAGGAAAGTAAAGTGAGGCAGCGCTCCTTTGAGACAAAGCGTATTCAAGGAAGAGGTTGCCAGAGAAGGCTGGGTAAAAAAACAGCGAACGATAACATTGAAATGTGTCGTTTCAACACTGTCAAGGGTAGTTTGCTCGTTCATCTCCCGTTCTATTGGTCATGCTCAGACATCTGTATTCGCGACACAGCTGCCAGCTGCAGTTATTTTACAAGAAAAACACACTGCAAATTCAAACAGATGCCTGCGGAAACATTCTACCTTTGCGGGAGGAATAGTACAGTTTAGTTTCAACGTGTAGCTAAATCTCGTCGACCAACCTGTCTGAATTATTTGCAGCCATCCGGGAAAGCAGGAGGTTACGATGCAAACCTGAGAAACCTTATTCTATGCTTTGAAACTCAGCCTTTACGTAAGCATAAAGCATAAACAAGGTGTCGTTGGTGTAAAGCCATAATTTGCCTCTAGTGGCTTCGCTTTATGCTTAATAACTCTCACGCCTTATAGTGTATTATTACTACAACTAAGGACTCCCGTAAATTTTCACCATTCCTAATTTCATGACAGCAACAATTCCTCTTGCAGATAAGATAACGGCTTGCGCGATAACATTTCCTCCTTCGAATTTTACCTTACGCCTCTCATCCGATTCATCCAAGATAACCAACCCAGTGACTCGTTAGCTAAAGCACATCCAGTCGCGTCATAGTACATCCTAAATTGCATCATAGTTTTTGTCCACTTCTTGGCGATAAATGCCATAGTTATACAAAATCACATGACTCCAAAACGAAACTATTGGATTAGGGGAGGATATCGGTATATACGCGACACTACTCCTGACAGAGGAGCAACAGCAACTTGAAGAAACATGGCAGAAATCGCTCTCGGCCAGACAGTATCCTTAGATTGTTAGTCGCCCTTATTTTGCAACCTTTAGCGTACTCAAGTCAGCTGGTCAGACCAATAAGCACCTCTACCCCTGGTTTGAAACTTAACGGCAACTGTCATCTGCTGACCAAAATTCGCACAGTTTCACACATGAAAATTAAAATAAGGATGAATAAGACGAGTGTTTCATACTCCCCCCGTGAAATGTCTGTGAATTAATTACTGAGCCCAGTGCGACAAGTTTTGAGTGAAATTATTCAATAGTTTGGTTTTTTCTCAAAAGTGGAAATGCTAGTTCGATTGGTGCCGTAATCAATCCGGATTTGTTGCTTGAAATGCACATAGCTGCTGAATGACTAGCATGCAAAAAAGCTGAAGTCTGAATGCGTAAGGGGACTAAGGTGAGTTCACTAATCTATCTATCCGGGGAAGGTCAGCTGGTGTCCCAAGTAAAGTCAATTTAATGAAAAAAACAGTCTTCTGATCGACACAAGCGGGTATAACACACGGTTGAATAGAACATTCTAACCTAATTCGCCAGACATTTTGTCGTCATGCCAACCGTCCAGCTGTCAGCTGTAGCAGACTTTCAGTGCCTAACTGCCGTGCCATCTAGAGGATGCGTGAGGGCTGGGATCTACCAGGTTGCCCAGGCCTAGACAGGGCAAGTAGAGATGCAAAGGTCGAGTTCGAAGAACGAACGTTCCGGCAGCAAATTCTCGCTCTAACCACTTAACCACCTCTTGATCGATAAGATGATGAGACGAGCCCTGGAATATTCTCAAAGGCATCTTGCTTGAATAGCCGACCAAGGAAGCGGTATCGATCTGAAATACTGTCCGGAAGAGACTCACCCAAAATAATCGAACATCAAGCCGACTGGACGGATATATCGTGAACCAGTGAGGGACCAAAACAAGGCATGTTATGCATAGCATTTCATGCCAACCGATTGCACTCGTCTGTTTAAGGTCAAGATTGGCACGACTTTTGACAGACGCTATTGAGCTTGCAAACCACATTTCACGATCCCCCGTGAAATCGTATGAAGTGCACACGAACATATAGAGATACGGTATGCCTTGAATGTTGGAAATGAGGAAAATACCATTCTGAAATGAAACCGCTTTTCTTGGGTCTTCAATTTAACATGTGTATCTCCTGGTCAAAGATTTACCGAAATTTGTGCACTCATTTGGTTTTCGTTTGCTCTCGTATTTCCAAATGCATAGAACATTCTGTACAGAGTTCTTTGTTCCTCACAAGCAAACAGGTCATCATCCCAATCTAGGGCTGCTGCACACACCACATCGTCTAGTGCCATAAATTGAGAGTTAATCAACTGCATTTACGAACAGTTAGCTGCTCTAGCTGGATTAGTTAAAGCATGGTTCACAAGCCCGTTAATACTACTACTACTACTACTACTACTACTAATAATAATAATAATAATAATCATTCAGCTATAGCGCCCTTTCGGTGCCCAGTGGCCATGCCACCCGAAGGAAACACGAGGGATGAAACGGCCAGTTTTCACAGACAGGAGCACGACTTGCAGCGCACACCCTTATGAAACGACTAGAGACGTAAAGTAAAGAAAGAATGGATGCATAGTTTTTTTCGTGAACAGAGCGAATACTTGCATAATAGATGCATATGGCCTGGATACTTCGACCCCGTAAGCGCTGACGAGCTGTCACGAAGAGTCTGGATCTTACTGTGGTGGGACGGTTTGTGTGCCTCAGTGAACCATTGGCTATACATATGATCAACAATAATGCCGTGTCATACTGGCTGTCGAGTGGTACTATCAGCCGGGTCACATTACCTGCTAGATACAGCGGGGTACGTGAGCGAAAAGTGACTATTGCTGACATTTCCCTTCTTTCTATTTGATATGATTTTTCTGCTCTGCCATTAATGACTTTCTCGTTGTAGACCTGTCAGTTGAGACTGATGACTTCGTTCGTCCTGCATCGGTTTTGGCAACAACATCCGTGCGACATCAGCGCCGACATCCTCAGAAAGTTTGAAATCAATCCCTACTCTATTTGGCTGCTTATAGTGTTCACACTCTGAAATGAGCATTTTACGGTAGCGAAGCAGCAGTATTCAACACTGATATACTGCCGATGATGATAGTAATGAGACAGGGACGAACTGGTGACCAATGTCCACTTTAGCATCAGAACGTTAAACTGGTCAAACAAACTGATCCCCATACAAGCATTCTGTTCAAATTCATCCGCGTCTCCCTGCAAGAGTTCACCACATTGTTGCATACGGTCCATATCAGCAGAGCACACCCTCTGCAGTGAATCTGTTCGACATGCTCATACATCAAATTGGGCAGTGTGAAAATGGCTAAGCATTTTTAAGGCAAATCAATAGTATTTTTCTACACCACGGACGCATATCGCATTCATGCACAAAAGGTATGGTAATATATGTCGAGCATGTTCCGTAAAACGTACTTTCCTGGCTAAAGAGGCCAAATCACTTTGTTAACTTTTGTGGTCAACACGGAACTGACCAGATGACTTATGTTTCCATAGACAGACACCATATACACTCGCAACAATGGATAGTGAAATCAGCTGGGCACACTTGACATACAGGAAAGACACTAGCACCGGAAAACAAGTGGCTGTGTTATGGATACACAGGCAATTATCCTCAACTAGTTGCAATATTATAGTTTGCAAACGACCTCCAACACGCTACTCAGTGGTAGAACGGTTGCCATAACATCCATCACGGTCATAGCACACGCTTTACTCATCCCCAGCATCATCCAAAATCCCATGACAACACACCGGGCATTCATGACAGTAATAGTTCAACAAACCATAGTCAGGCTATTTATTAATTTTGTTGGTAGTATAGAGAGAAGTGGAAATTTTCACTGCAGATTTCGTCCTGTAAGGGAAGCCGATCCATGCCGAAAAGCCGGGAGGTGGTCTACGGCTGTTTCACCATCATTAGGAAACATCAGCAGTACAGATCAAACCAACTTCCAGGAAGACTCAAGTACGCAAAACGGCCAGTTTTCACAGACAGGAGCACGACTTGCAGCGCACACCCTTATGAAACGACTAGAGACGTAAAGTAAAGAAAGAATGGATGCATAGTTTTTTTCGTGAACAGAGCGAATACTTGCATAATAGATGCATATGGCCTGGATACTTCGACCCCGTAAGCGCTGACGAGCTGTCACGAAGAGTCTGGATCTTACTGTGGTGGGACGGTTTGTGTGCCTCAGTGAACCATTGGCTATACATATGATCAACAATAATGCCGTGTCATACTGGCTGTCGAGTGGTACTATCAGCCGGGTCACATTACCTGCTAGATACAGCGGGGTACGTGAGCGAAAAGTGACTATTGCTGACATTTCCCTTCTTTCTATTTGATATGATTTTTCTGCTCTGCCATTAATGACTTTCTCGTTGTAGACCTGTCAGTTGAGACTGATGACTTCGTTCGTCCTGCATCGGTTTTGGCAACAACATCCGTGCGACATCAGCGCCGACATCCTCAGAAAGTTTGAAATCAATCCCTACTCTATTTGGCTGCTTATAGTGTTCACACTCTGAAATGAGCATTTTACGGTAGCGAAGCAGCAGTATTCAACACTGATATACTGCCGATGATGATAGTAATGAGACAGGGACGAACTGGTGACCAATGTCCACTTTAGCATCAGAACGTTAAACTGGTCAAACAAACTGATCCCCATACAAGCATTCTGTTCAAATTCATCCGCGTCTCCCTGCAAGAGTTCACCACATTGTTGCATACGGTCCATATCAGCAGAGCACACCCTCTGCAGTGAATCTGTTCGACATGCTCATACATCAAATTGGGCAGTGTGAAAATGGCTAAGCATTTTTAAGGCAAATCAATAGTATTTTTCTACACCACGGACGCATATCGCATTCATGCACAAAAGGTATGGTAATATATGTCGAGCATGTTCCGTAAAACGTACTTTCCTGGCTAAAGAGGCCAAATCACTTTGTTAACTTTTGTGGTCAACACGGAACTGACCAGATGACTTATGTTTCCATAGACAGACACCATATACACTCGCAACAATGGATAGTGAAATCAGCTGGGCACACTTGACATACAGGAAAGACACTAGCACCGGAAAACAAGTGGCTGTGTTATGGATACACAGGCAATTATCCTCAACTAGTTGCAATATTATAGTTTGCAAACGACCTCCAACACGCTACTCAGTGGTAGAACGGTTGCCATAACATCCATCACGGTCATAGCACACGCTTTACTCATCCCCAGCATCATCCAAAATCCCATGACAACACACCGGGCATTCATGACAGTAATAGTTCAACAAACCATAGTCAGGCTATTTATTAATTTTGTTGGTAGTATAGAGAGAAGTGGAAATTTTCACTGCAGATTTCGTCCTGTAAGGGAAGCCGATCCATGCCGAAAAGCCGGGAGGTGGTCTACGGCTGTTTCACCATCATTAGGAAACATCAGCAGTACAGATCAAACCAACTTCCAGGAAGACTCAAGTACGCAACGTGGCCAATATTTGAACACTGTAAACCTTTCGCTCAAGAGGGGCTGATCAACAGTTTGATCACCTCGCATTTAGACAGAATATAGTGCCATTCTTCCTTTAGTCAATGGATTCATGTTACGCAGTCATGTGTTAACCGACTTCTCAGGAAAACGACTCACTCGTCTGAACTATTCTTCCCCTGAGCCAAGTATGGGATTCAGAGCAGTATGAAGGCCTCGCGCATTTAGATTACAAAAATACGGTGATCAACAAATCTTTGCGCGTGAGTTCTAGGGCCAATAACCGATAAGACTCATGAAGAAACGGACAACACTTGGCCGTAGTACGGCTAAACGGATAATGTTCGCCTAAACGGTGGAGTATGTGAATAAAAGGTTCTGTCATGCTACTGAAAACAAACTAATGAAATTCATGATATTTCTGTTGGTGCGAAGATTCCAAAAAACATGAAAGCACATCGTAGATCAATTCAAGCCAAAAAACGATACGGTCCTCGTAAAAGTGGTCCCACAAAGAAGACGCCAAAAAACTGTGTAAGCATCATACTTACTGACTGGTAATTACCTCGGGGAATCGATAAAATTGAAGCGAAAAATAAACACCCTCGAGGTCGTCGTTATCCAGTAATCTAAAAATTAAAATAACATCTATATTACCACTTCATTTTTTCACGAAAATAATTACCTGGGTTTATAAAAACCCTTATCCTTTAACCTGGAGGTCTGCGGGGCTGTAGCAATGGATTAAAGAAGTTTGGCACCAACTGTTCAACGGCAAAAATAGTCTCTCAGCTTGAAGGAAGCGAAGGAAATGCAGTTAAACTCCCAAGTAACAGGGAATCAAAGGTAGTTCCGCCTAACCAATCGCAGCGCGAGGTTGCGCAATCCATTCCATTTCACCTTCCAACCTGTTTCCAGGTGGATATNTATATATATATATATATATATATATATATCTGGGGAGCTTTCAGCCGTGATACGATTTGGGTAGCTAGCTGCCATTCCACTCAATCGAAGAACAAGGTTTAGGTATGCCTAGACAACCAAGCCTAAACAGGGACAGTTGAGATGCCAGGGTTGTTTCGGAACCACGGACCTTCCGGTCAGAAAATTCGAAACATACGCACCAAGATACCTCAAACTCATACACCAAGATAGCTCGCTAGTTGCTAAACTCATTACCAGACACTGAGACCGCCCTGTGGTATCTGACAATGGAGCGCGTTAGGTCTATTAGGTTGGAACAAGGCTTCAGACTGATTTGTGCTAACGGAGATAGTGGTTGATCTGTTCGGCGAGCTTAGCGATTGGTTTGTAAACTCTTCATCACCACGCGAGGGGGCATCGTAAATGCACATACCTGTTAACCAGAGGTCATTCAGCTAGTCTCAGGTAACCGTAAAAGATCCCCTCAAGCGAACGGATTCCTATACACAATACCCAGTGAAGTTTTTCCTTAATGGCTTAATCAGCCATCAATATGTGCGCAGCAATTTTGAAAAGGTAAAGTGTCCCGTTGTGAAACTAATTACACCTAGTTCTAGGTCATATGAGACACTTTATGTAGTGGTAAAAAAAGGCAAGTAAAGTGTCAACATTTCAATATTAACGCATTTTCAATGTGACACTGTCTCTTGTTGTGGTTCAATATTACATTACATGGGCGAGAAACCAACCCGAATAAACAGCATCAAGCATGTCGGGAATTCTTTGCCTTTTGGAGTTGCAGCTCGGTAATTAGATGGTGTATTAGTTGGGTGGTTTGCGAACTCAAGGCGAAACACTTCGACTGTGAGAGCTATCTGTGGCGCCTTATGTCACAAAAGGTGGCAATGAAAACTACTGTTCGTAGAATGCATGGACTGAACCTAGGTAGAAGACACCTAACTCTTTCGAGAACGATTTTCAAAGTTCAGCGATTCTGGTGCAGGGATATATTCAAACTGAAAAGTGCTTACTCACAATAGATTGAAGGTGACTTACGAAGGGCACGCAACGAATTGCACTGTGATTTCATTGATGTCTAAAGGATCGTTAGCCTCTGTTTCAAAACAGAAGGATTCCACCAATTCCAGTTCACTTTCAGGAATCACATCCAAATCGGGGTCCCTCATTTTGTAATCTGAAAGCACGGTGCGGAACATGGACTAACAGTCAACAACAGCTGTATAACACAAGGCTAATAAAAAGGCAAATATTCCGATTGTTTTTCGACCACTAATGAGTAACCCGAACGTTGAACCGTTTAACTGTCACCATTTCGCTGAATGGTTGCCTTGTAATTCGACGGAAGCACAAGATCTAAGAAATAACCTAAGCGTGGAAAATAATTTGTAAAAAGCCGGCGAAGTATATGAATTGAAAAGGCTTCTGACAGAAGTTCGTGTCTTGGTGTTAGGCTGTTACAAGATTTGCTAACATTCATTACCGCTAGAATCGTTTACGAGTCCCTTACAGAGCTAGACAGAAGATTCCCGTAAAGGACCATTATTAAGAATTCCTCAAACGCACACTTCACTCCTGCATGTGTTTGCTACAAACCAGAGGCGTTTTGAATCTACTGTGGCAAGTCTTATAATACAATGCTAATCCTTGTTATACGACCCGAGCACCTCTCAACTTTTGAGACATGATCGTACATTTAGAATTCTACCTTCGGGCTGTGAGTGCGTGAACTGCGGCCTGGTTGCCTTGATTGCCTCATTATCTCCACAGTTAATTTTTAAGGTGACCGTGAGAATAGGCTTTTCAAACGGTATTCTCACACTGGAAAATTCCGCGGGATGTTTTCTCAGTTTGGCACATTTCCAGTGCAGTCATTCTCACAGAACGGTAATCTATTTCCAGAGAAATAACCTAATGTTTCAAAGAGTTTTTCAGTGAATCATTGTCGAGCATCTCTGTCCCAGATAATCCGACCAGCTAGTCCAAGAAGGGAGGGTGTTATATTAACAGTATCCGAAAAGGATGAGACTTCAGCCCATGCACATAGACGTTCTCTTGAACGACGGAATGAACAGTTTGAAGAACAGTTCGGTTGAGTCCCATGCACTCACCCTCTAGGAGGACCAATCAAACCCGAGTGAAACACCAACATCAGTCCGCTATCGACGATGAAAGTTCACAGTGCAATCTCATTACCTTATCGTAACAAAATACTTGGACTAGAAGGTTTTCACCCTGAAGTCTACGAAGAATGTGGCGAGTATGTTATGACTAACCTGAAGACCTCGGTCTAAAATCTCTAGAATGAAGAAAAAATTTCCTACATTCTAAAATGGCTCAAGGATATCATGCGAAATGCATCGGATTACCAACTGGGTAGATTTATCCCACGCAGGTTAATCCACTATCGAACGAGCCAGATTCACGAGAAGCAAGCTAGGTTTAGCTGTAACCATGGTTGCATCGATCATATTTTTACCTTGCCACAAGCGCTGGAACTGGGTCACTTATTCCAATGACCAATAGTGGTCAATCTTGATCTCAAAGACGCCTTTGACCAACTTGATCGTCAGAAACTGTGTCAGTGTCTGACTATGAAGGGTGTCCCTTCTGTTTTTCTCTCTTATGGAGGTTTTACATGCCTCCTTCCGAGAGCGCGTAAGTGTCTACAGCATATTGACTTCTGGGGCAACCAAATCCAGTGGTGTCAGATAGGGTTTCCTCTGTCGCATTTCCTCTTCAACTTCATAATGGATATGCTGATTGAATCTTCCTTCGCCGTCTCTAACACCTCTGGAATCGAAATACAACCTGGGCAGTTACTCACGGATATTGAGTAGACCGATGATATTACTGGTCTTAGATCAGATCCTTTGGAAATGAAAACTGTTTTAAGGGGCTTCTATATTTCTACTGGACAGTTCGGTGTACACTTGCAAATGAAAAGTGCAAAGTGCTGCTGGAGGAGTGACTGGGATTTAACCCATCTAGATGAACGGATCTATGTGATAGATAAGTTTGTTTACCTAGTCAGCCGCACAAGTTCCGGCATGAAAGATGAAATCACCTCCTAAATAGGGGAGGCTAGGACAGCGTTTGCTAGCTTTTGGCGTCTAGTGCGCTGTCATGACATTAGCTTGATGGTCAAACATAGAGTGGCCCAATCTGCTCTAGTTTATGGCCGCTGCGTGTTGAATACCCTCTGCGCTTAACCTTAGGTGCCTCCGAATCATTGCATGAGTCTGGTGGAAAAACCAGATTACTTTCGATGAAGTGCGCCATATGGTATTCAAAAACGTTTGTTCCTCCTAAATAAGTCAGTGGGCCACACTTCACAAGCTACACTGGTTAGGCCATGTGTTTCGTATTTCACAGGACTGTTCACCTCGTAGAGCCCCCTTTGCCCGACCTTGTGTCGAATGTAAACAATCAAGAAGCTTTTGGTCTATCACCTGACAAACAAACATAAAAACCTTTAATAGTCAACTGAGTCACAATGATAAATACCGTCTTCCCGGATCGGGACCGCACACGAGACAAAATAATGGCTAGTGACTTTGACGGATGTAGCTGTTCCACGTAGCCATAGTAGTAGTAGTAGTCTGACGACCTTACTGCAAACTGCTTGAAATACTCACGTCGATTTAGATTATCCTGTTGCCCTATGTAAATTTACGACAAAATTATCGGGAGACAATAAGTGGCATACACGTCGTTTAGTCGTCAAAAAACTTACTGGCGTGCAAGTTACATTATTGCCAAAATAGGTTAGGAAGCTGAATCCCACGGAGTTGTCAGTCACACCGCTATACATAAGCCCGAAACCTTTGTAGGGAACTAGTACACTATGTGATGGGTGTGGACTGTTTCACTATACGCACAAAGCTACAGCTTGTTATTAGGATAATCAAGGAGGATGTTGGAAAACTAATATACAGGAAAAACCAAAGTCCCCCCACTATTTTCCCACTCAGTATCTTCTAAAACAGTTGGGCTGGCTATCACTATGTACAGCTGGGACTGTAGTCCTTTGGTTTAGGTATTCCCTCAAAGTGAAATGATAACGAAAGTTTCTGTCTTAAAACGCCATCAGGCCACATGGTGTGATGTGATATCAGTGGCGCTATTCAAAGGCCAGAGTGTATTCTGATCTTATTCCCTTATTAGGCTCTTGAGACGAATCTGAGAACGACATTAGTGGGGCAAGTTAGTCATGGTACCTTAAGCGACTACTTCACCCTTAAGGGCATTTATGTTATCGCAAATGACAGGTGACTACTGGCTTCAGTGATATTGCTGCGCCAAAACCCATTGCGAGACACAACTCGGACAGCATCAGACGTGGTTTCGATGAAGTAGAAAAACAACCGATCACATCTTTAAATCACTTGCCTGAGAGCCGACGCACACACTCAGTTTTATAAGGGACTTCACTAGGGCCTTCCTCCATGGCAGTTAGGTACCGGTTGTCAACGCTAGCATATGGCTTTCAACGACGGTCGTACTGGCAACGCGTACAGACATACATGGCTCCGTAGAAATTATTGCAAAAATTCCTTCGTTCTGTACGAATTTCTCGTAGTCCAAGCATATATATTTCATAAATTTTCGAAGACAGTGCATCAACAAGCTCAATCTGTTTGCTAGTTGTGTAGCATTTCAAAGAATACCGTATGGTTAGTATTAGTTATTCAGTGGCGACAAGAATTCTCCAAGGATGCATAGCGAGTTCAAGAGCTGGTAAAAACCGCGAATACGTAACACCCGTTTAGTGTCTGCCTGCCACGCGACCGAAACAACAGGACCGAGATATTACCAGGAAGTCCAAGCCTAAACAGAAGCAGTGAAGATACAGCTGTTGGGCTAGATCCGCGGACCTTCCGGTCAAGAAGTTCGCGCCCTAACCAGTGAAATATCCCTAGCTCAGTTTTAGATGCAGTAAAATATTTTTTTGAATACTGTGTTTCTGAACAAGTGATTTATCCAAATAAACATTCCGTCGTTTCGGAAAAGTAATTTCGCCAGCCGTTTTTAACGTCCCTTATGGGTATCTTATTTATGTGGCTTGTAATGCGCAACTGAACAGACAATGGAAAGCCAAACACACCTTAAGATGAAATATGACTTAAAAAGCTGACGTTGTCTTTCGCCGTGTTCATCATGCTCACGCGTGAATTAGCTGGTTCTCTAAAGTTGTGGTGCCATTTAAACGAGAACTCAATTCTTAGCTTTGCCATGCATCTATCAAAAGGTTTACTTACATCGTTCACCCCGCAAAAGGGAACGCTTCTACAAGTTTCTTCATTGATGCCAACGTGTCCGATTCTCCGTTCCTATGTTATCTCGATAGAATCGTCGTTGCACATAATTATGTTCCGGGTAGGTAAAGAGAAAAGCAAGAGATGACATTCGAAAATGAGTGCACGGAGATGATAGCAAAGGGTAAATTAAGTGTTCCAAAGTCTTTGACTGAGTTTACAAAGGCCCTGCTCACCTCGCCCATAGTAACTTCGAAGTATAAACACAATGCGTGTTGAGTTAGAAGTGAAACTCAAGGTCCAATCATAATCTTCATGAATGGTGTATTTTGTCTAAAAAATGCATCACATCTTGAGCACCGTCCCGACAGAAACGTATGACTACCTTCGTGCATATTCAGTTAAACAATACCACAGAGGATAGGTTCACTTACGTCCCTTGTAACGCCAATGTCATTTTCAAATAAGTGTACTTTGTCCATTGCATACACAAGTTCTATGAAAACTCGCAGACCGTGCATACCTGATTGACCTCAAGAAGACAGAAACTGTTAGTGAGCTTTCGAGAATTTTCAGTGACTTTGCGAGTAATATGTTTCGTAAAAAATTAACTTTATTGCCTTGCAAGTTGGTACATTGTCCACTGTCCATATCCCACGATTAACTTAATGTGCACATTATTGAGAAGCTGGATGATCTTTGACATAATCTAGTCGAAAGGGCCAACATCCCCCTAATAACTATGGAATCTTCATTTTTGAACATGCCATCGTTTTGTAACAGCAGTAATTCGAGCGCCACGTTAATGCTTCACAACATTGTATCGTTCATAATGATACAATCGAACATGATAGGGCTGACTGCTCTAATCTCGCTGTGGAACTAATGAAGTTGTAGACTTGTCAGATGGATCGCTGTA